TGCTATCAGTGGCGACACACCATTCATTCTTTGAGAACATATTGTGAATTCTGAAAAGAGCCAGAAACCATTCATAGTCAAATCAGGTAAAGAAATATCATTTTGGTAAGAAAATGGACAAACCAAAGAAAACAAAATCATCAGGCAACAATGATGATAATATGATGACATTACAATTTTTCTTGTGTCAAGAAATTGCTTAAAAGACACTTCCAAAGCATTTTTTTTAATGGCAACATAAGTTGGATTATATGAGCCCCTTGGAAACTAACTTGAAAGATTATAGAACAAATTATTTCCCCATTATGACTTCTGTGACATAATAAGGAACATGCAGAACAGAAGCCGCTGCAAAGAGAGTCAGAAGAGCTCCACTGGCCCTTCGCCATCAAAGCGCACGAGCACTGGCAACTTTTATAATTCCTCTGATCATTCAACACATTTGCTGAGCACTTGTTGTGTGCCAGGCTCTATCTTAAGGGCTGGAGATAAGCTAACAAACCAAACAGCCAAAACTCTTTGCCTTTTCCAGGGTGATCATGGGGAAGAGTTCCTCGCAAAGATGTGAATAGTTGTGCTTTCCACACTTAACCATACATTAGAATCACCAGGACTATCAGGGACATTCTATCCATGATGCAGAGCAACCCAGCATGAGGGGTAGGGACGAATGTAGCAAAGACATAGAGCTCATAGGCAGCAACCTGAAACTCATCATAAATCTTAGAAAATCTGGACTTCTTGCAACTTGTGTAAAAATAATTTTTCTTAAGTTTTGTTTCAAAGCAACTGATTTTTTTGAAGTACTGAAGTTTCAATCCCAACCTGTGAAGATTTCATGGACTCATAGAAAGCCAGAGGTAGAAGGAACCTCAGAGACTGGTCCCCTCTCTTGAAAGCTGAGGAAACCAAGACTTAGGGGCTTGTCAAGGTCACAAGAATCCAGACCTCAGTCTTAGTCTGGTGCTCTTTCCACCAAGCAATTCTGACTCTAAATAGTTCTCTCAATGTTGTCAGTCGTCCTACTGATAAAACTTGGTATTCCCCGGGTTTAATTTGAATGTCCAGTTTTGCCTACCTACAGCTCTCCCCAGGAACAAACTCTAAGTATTGAAAAAGCTGTTTCCTGACCCCACAGTTTTAAAGATTTAGATTTCTTCAGCAAGCATAAGACCCTTGCTTAGTTTTAAATGTCAGGACTTTTCTCTATTTCATTTTCATTTTCAAAGGTTATTCTAATTTAAGTGGGGGGTGGGAAGCAGAGCAAAAAGGCTCTCTCCATATTGTTTTTTCAGTGCACTAACCCTTCCTTTAGATGTCTTCATTTGCCTCTCAGCCATACACTTACTTTTTTGTTCTTATTTATTTTCTCATTACATTTATGCCAACACATTTTGGAAAGAAAAGGAAGGGAATATTTGCCCCACCTTAACCATTCTTCTGCTCCCACGGTCTAGTCTTCTGCTTTAAACACAGTTCAATGCCAGTAGACACTTCTTGAGGTGGAATGTTCTTTGTGCCCAAAAGAACCAGGACTTAATTGAAGGAGCAGCTAATCACCAGCCACTTACTTGAGGAGAAAGATGAGAAATCTTATTAGAATTTGTTCTCATCCTGGACCAGCTGCCCCTTATCTGTTTCTCTATTTCCATCCATTTCTTTTTCAATATTTTGGACCAAAGAATCAAGCCAACTTCCTAGTGCATCTTCAGCTCTATAGAGAGATGTATATGATCTAATCCTTTATTTTTAGAAGAGTTATTTTTATAAAGTAAAAATTACTAGACCTTTAATATCTTCCCTTTCATCTTTTTAAAACAGTGTCTTTTCTTTAAAGCATCCAGGAATTGTACAAAAATAAGAGAAAAATAAGTTGAAAGATCTAGGTTCTCATCAGATGGTTATATTTCTGGTTGCGCCACTGCTCTTTGGAAAATGGGAGTCACAGTCTCAGAAATTAATTAAAGTTGTTGAGGTTCTTCACACACCAGGCCTTACCACTCATGGATTCCCTTACTTAAATTTTGACTATAAAACCATAAGAGGGGAAACATGGAACTCCAGTTAAATTCTTTTAAAAAAACTGCAGATTTTTAAAATAAATCACTGGGCAGTGGGCTCTGCTTAAAGCTTATCATCTGGAAGAGGAAGCAATTTACTTTGAAATATCTAGGTTATTAGAGTAACATGACTTTATATGCAGATTAGGGCTACTTCCCTGGACTAGATGCATGATGCGAAGTCTCAAAAGAAAGCGTGGAGGAGGAACCTAACTCTGGGGAGATCTGACCTTAAGAGATGAAGACTTAAAGGAAAGAATGCGGTTTTGTTTTTCCAGCCTTTTTTTTTTTTTCCAACTCACCTAACCATGAATTAATCTACTCCTTTTGTACCTGAATTTCAGATTCATTTCCTTCTTAGGATCACCCTCAGCAAAACTATGTAGATATTATTTTGTGATCTGTTGTCTATGACAAACCACTGGTATCTTCACATTCTTGGTACCCAGAAACTCATTTTCCTATGAAGCTGATAAGACTGAACTATGTGGACCTACCTGCCCTCCTCACAGATAAAATATTCTTTGGAAAATGAAGGAGGTACTGCTTTCATTTCTCCTGCATGCACCCTGGGCTCAACTTTGGAGGAGGTAGACCTGGGGTGAGCATAGGAAGTTCGTATGCATGGAACAAAGCTTAGAAATCTAAAAGGCAGCAGCCAGGGAAAAACTGAAACCAAACCTGGGTAACCTAGACAAACCAGGCATGGTTCCAAAGGCTGTGATAGATGGGGGAGGATCAAGGTAAAAGGCAACATGGCAACTAGAGCCTGGGGAGGTCATATGAGAACTACAGGGTCCAAAGCATCAAGTGGGAGGTGGGGTCCAGGGTAAAGCAGAGCTTGAATGCTCCCAATTTGGGACCCATGAGTGGTGAGATGTCCTTAAAGCGTCTACTTATCTCTTCCTTCCTATCCCATCTGTGCTGGTAATTAAGCTAAAAATTCTCAGCTCCAAACTCATCCCTCTTCATTCTGCTCTGTCATGCTGGGCTGGGACCCTACTAACTCTGCCTTGTCCCTTTGCCAACTGTTATCCTGTTAGGTTCAGCCCACAGGGGGTGCTGGAAGGATACCACCAGGCAGTAACTAGGAAATTACTTTGAATTTCTTTGAATTTCAGCTACCAGACATTGAATGGAGATAACAGGCACATCACTGGACTGTTGGGATTACACAAGCCCACTTAGTGCAGTTCCTGAGTGAGTCCTCAGTGCAGATAGGGAAAGGAGCTGGGGGCTCCCCACCTAGACCGGTCTGACGCTTCAGTCAGTCAGGGACCAGAACCAGTGAGGATCCAGGCTGGGAAACAGAAGCCACACTGGTTACTTTAACAGAGAGAGTTTACTGTAAGGAACTAGCTAAAAAGACATTGGAGGGCTAAATGAGCAAAGGGAGATCCCCCAAGTAACACAGAAAGGGTAGGGAGCAGCTGCCGTCCTAGGCTGGGAGGATACCGGGAAGAGGCTGAAGTTAGGACATGGAAGCTTAGATCAGGGAGCAGGAGCCCAGTTTCCAGTGCAAAGGACACTAGGTGCCTCAGAGGAACATGGAGGCACAATGAAATCACTGCCACTGCCAGGGTGGGGCTGCTTCTGGGGTGCCACTGTGATGATGTTTTCCTTTTCACTTCTACTGTTAGGAAGTCAGAGTCCAGTGGGTACCTCACTTTTGGCAAATGAGAACTTTGTGTCATTATGGCTGCAGTGACTTTTCTCACCTCACTTTATCTGTGATATATTTATTTCAACATACACTGAATAGTCTGTGAATCTCTTTAGAATCATTTGGAAACCCCAGGATACTTCTACCTCCATCTGTATCTTCATCTATACATTGATCTACAACTTCCCTACCTCCATTTCTACTGCATTTTTTTGTCTCCTCTATACTACTCCCTACACCTTTACCCATACCTGAGATGAGTTCCCTTAAATGAGAAAGACAGGGAGAGTCCAACTCTGTCTCTGTAGTTTCAGTTGAGTGTTTGTTATCCAAATTTGAATATGAAAGCATAATTAAGGAGCTGTTAACATAAAGACAGTGTCCAACTGTTCAGCAGCCTCCATGGTGTTTCCTTAAGAAGGTCTTACATTGACAGAGATACTAATGGGCATGTGATAGAGAACCCAAAACTTAAAAAGTTCTAACCCATCAAGAAATCCCATTCATCATTTCATTTTTTGGAAAGGATATAAAAAATGAAATGTCAGAGCTATAATGTCAGGACCGTTTAAAATGTCAAGTGCTTGTTGTTGCATAGCCTGGTTGTCTGCTGTTCTGATCAAACCTCCAACTGGCATAATAATTACAGATGATGCATCACATTTTCATGCACAACTGGACCCAGATTTATAACAAGTCAGATGGAAACACTCTCATTGCCCAGCCTGAAATCTCCTTTTACTACACAGCTTAAGACTTTTCCTTTAGAGCAGAACATTATTACCAATTCAAGGCAGCATTCAGGGTAAGGAATGAGAAAGAAGGGCAAAAACAGTTTCTCAATAGACCAGAACTCAGTCATTTATAATATACAGATGCAAGAAGAGCCAAGAGGCAGTGAACACATTTGCTGAATGCATGTTTAATCTAAGAAGAATGCTAAACTGTGAAGACACTGTCCAGATAATTCTATTTTTAGATGCAGATTCATTTAGCTGTGCAAGGAAACATACATATGAGCTCCTTTTTGAACTGATAGAGAATCCTTCAGTTTAATCATGTTCTAATCTGAAGAGAGAGCAGCACTAAAGTATAAACAGAAAAGGAACAATCCTTCTGTCTAGGATCTTTATGGAAGTCTCTGTGGGACTTCAGTGATATATTCACAGGCGGATACCAATTATAATAAAAACCTGAAATGAAGAGGATGTGCATGGAGAAAACTTCATTTCTTCTCAAATGAAAGCTTTGTGTCCACTGAAAGCTGGGAGTCATTCTTACCGCAACTTTATTTTCACCTTCCCTAGACCACCTTGTCAGATGGTTCGGAGGAAGACTACCTCGGTGTCCAACTGCTTCTCATTAAAGATTACATCCAGCACATTCCATGGAGCTCTTGGAGACAATCTCCAGAATATACTGATCTTTTTCCAGGCAATTGATAAATTCTTCTAAAATCGATTCTCCTAGAAAATAATAAATGAACAATTAACAAGAGACTGTCCATACCACTCACTGGCATATACAATATATTCATAGGTATTTTTATTGATATTCTTTTTTTGATATCCTTTTACCCCAACGAGACTAAATTCTTTAAATATCCTTATGTAGAAAGGATACATTGGTAGGGCTGCCCATGAAAATTAGGTTGATGAATACAGTCTATTCTTATACTGAGTTGAGAACATGAGGTGAGGTGCTATGCCTGTGTCCACATACACACTTTATACCTCTACACAGTATTGATTACTTAACCTTGAATCTTGAAGATATGACCACGTCATAGGAGCATGAAGATTGAAGATGTCTAAGATCAGGAGGAAATGACATTTTGCAAGGCTGTTTTCAATATTATTCTCTCCGAGGCTGTCCAACAGCTGTGAGAAAGGCTAAATATTATTCACTCCACATATAATTATTAGTTACTAGGTCTCCCCTCCTTTTCTGATTTGTGATTCCTAATTTTAGTCCCTTGACTTAAGACGTAAGCCTGTGCTGGCCAGTCATCCATTTCTATAAAACTATTGCCTTACACCCTGTGGGCTGGGGGCCCTGTTTTTCCACAGCATCGTTCTACAAGACAACTTTTCAACATTTTTGGGTGGATGGAATGGACTTCTCTATTGACTTAAATCACTTGGGTTGTAATTATGGGTATATTCAAGTTTAAGGGCACAGATACAGTTCCTGATCTCAAAGAGATTATACCCCATAGGGTTTGTGGCTGGATTCAAGGCCAGCCAAGGACAAGTCAAGTACATTCAGCAACTAGAGAATGTGCACCTGTGCGAGAGAGTCAGTAGGAACTGATCTCAGGTGTCAGAGAACCACTACTTTTTAGGGGATGAGACAAATCTAAAGCACCCCAATAGTGATTCAAATATAAATAAGTGTGACTCATCACATTCCCGTAAGATACTTTTTTGTTGTTGTTGATGGCAAATAGTAAAATACATTTTTTAGAGCAAGATTTTGTCTTTGTTCATTATGTTTTCCTTATGCTAAAGAAGTTTGCATAAAACCCCAATTAACAGCGGGTAGGAGTAGAATCCTCCATCTCAAAGGGCAAGTACAGGGGTGGGTTAAAACAAAATGAAGTAGAATAAACTGAAAATAAAAAGGAGTGGTAAGTGTGTGGGTGGGGAAGGTCACATGGGTGCAAGGTGGTGGGCACTGGTGACCGTAAGTAACAAAAGAATAACCACCCATTTGTTTCAAAGGAAATCACAGCCTCCAAATTCTCAATGCAAAAGATTTTTCAAATTTCCAGGGGTTCAGCATGGCCAAAAGAAAAGTGGGGGTCGAGGTGGGGAAGCTGAAGTTGTTTTTGACCACTCAGTTGTAATCCTTCTGTGTTGCTGGCAGTGAGGGCAGCTGCATCTGAAGATACTGGGTTTAGCTGCCATGTTAGTTGAAAGGCAACGCAGGTTACTGACATGGAAAAAAGAGAAAAGATGGAATTCCTTTTTTAAAAAAATTTACTGATAGAACTGACATATAATCTTGTATTAGTTTCGTGTGTACAGCACAATGTTTGATATATGCACATATTGTGAAATGATTACCACAGTAAGTGTAGTTAACATCCATCGCTTCATATAGTTGCAAGTTTTTTGTGTGAAGAGAACTTTTTAAGAACTACTTTCTTTGCAACTTCAAAGATGTACTTCTTCACTGCTGTTTTCTCACTACCGTCAGAACACCTGTGAACTCCGCATGTTTATTTTTGTCATGTTACCTAACCACTTACAAAAGTTCTTTTTTTTCCAAATTAAGCCAGCCTCTGCCTATAGCAACTTAAAATGTTTACACTTTTTATCTAAAGTACTCATTTTGACATTTCTTCATTCCTCCCTCTTGCATGTAGCATTCATTTATTCATCAAACATTTATTGAGCCCTAACTACAATCCCCATTTCCTCTACTACACTGAGGTAAACATGGCAAGTGCTCAGTAAATACAGTCAAGAATTGCTTTCCTTTATCTGATGTTCTTATCCACTGCTTCCTAATCCTCTTAATTTGCCTGTGGACTTGTTCCTAAATTAAAAGGATGGTTTTTGGGCTGCCTAGAAGGGATCACTGTGCAGGTCTAGAAGCTTTGCATCAAAACCTCTACCAGTAAAAAGCCAAAGCCAGGAAGATGTGATTGAGCTGGAGATCACAGGACTCAGATCTAAACTGATTTTTGAATTTTTGAATTTTGTTTATATTTAAAGATACATTTCAATTTTTATTGGACAAAATTCAGAAAGTGCACAATTTTAGTTATACGTTGAACTATGCATATATACATAATTTATATCTGAGTTATCTAGAATTGTTTGCTGTGCTGGTGGACACATTCTCCACTCGCAGGGACTCTGCAGGACAGTGTTATTTATGGGTGATCTTCCATCTCTCACTACCAGTTTCAGCAGATTCACTACCCCTGAATACTTTCTTTAATCCTGTTCTGCAATCTGGTCATCTGTTGATATTTCTGGATCATCTATTTCTTCCCATTAACATAACCCTGCTCCCCCAACCACTCAAAAAAGCCAAAATTTACCGTATATGTCCACACTAGCATTTTTGTTCTAAAGAAGTCAGCCTGGTTTAAAAAAACAGCCTATGCAAAGGAATTTTTTTTTTCAATTCTTTTTACTTCTTTTAAATTAGAACTTCATGAAAACTTGTGCTAGGGCTAGGATATTAGCAAAGGTGGGAATGGAGAGTCTTAGATGAAAATAATCAGGTTTTCAAGGGAGCGTGCTGGGGAAGATTTTAAAAACTCCAGTTTTGTGTCCATTAACAAGATGGCAATAGAGGCATTTAGCAGCATTTTATAGCAGCATTTATGGAGTTGTAAGTGCAGCAGTTAGTTTCTTCTCTTACGTGAGGACTTGACTGCCTTTTATCTCCTGGTAGTTCTCCATTTCCTAGTTTGATTCAGTTTCCTCGTGGCTTACCACTATGTTCTAAGCTAAACCACTGGTCTTTCTGGTCAGCCGCTCAGTAAAAGATCTTTCTTTACATTCTGTTCCTTTAACCCAAAATAGCTGCCCAATAATCACCCTCTTTCATTTCTTCTTTGGCCTTGTTCTGTCTCTTTTCACTTTCAGAGTTTATTACTATGAGGCACTTAAGTCTCCTTTGTCCCTGCACTGTTTGACTCTATGTTAAGCTTGCCTGGGCACTTTCTGCACTTGATGCTCTCTGCACAGCATCTGTAAGTTGTCCTACATCACATCAAGAGGACTCCTAAGCAGTGCGCAGTAGGCGTGGATCAGTCTTCCTCCCATATGTAGTAAAGGCTGCAGAATTTCTTGCATTAGGATTTATACTGATTTGTCTTGCTGTCCTCTCTGTTTTCAAATAATATTTTACGTTAAGCTTTAATCTTCTGTCTTTTGATTCTCTTTAGGCTTGTCTTCCTAGATGCCCTGGTTCATAATATAAAAATAAAACTAATGTGTTGAATTATAACAATAATACACGTTCATGGTAAAAATTCCAAACACTATAGAAAGGTACAATGAAAAGAAAGAATCCCCCTATAACCTCTCTCTGGTTCCCAGCTCCACTTCCCATTGGGAACTGACTCCTGCTAATCAATCTAAGTCCATGTTTTATGAAGTTTGCAATGCATATGCATACATATGTTAATTCCCAAAAGAGTCTTCTATGCCTTCCTACAGATAGGATTGCATGTTGCACTTATTTCTTATTTGTTTCTTCCTTTGCTTTTCATATGACTTTTCATCAGATACTTACTCATCTTACAACTATTTACAGAGTACCTAATATATGCCAGAAAGTGTGAGAGCATGGGAAATGCCAAAGTACATAAAACAGAAAGAGTTCTTGCCCTCACGGAGCTCATAGCTCTTCTTTTGATTCTCTTTAGGCTTGTCTTCCTAGATGCCCTGGTTCATAATATAAAAATAAAACTAACGTGTTGAATTATAACAATAATACATGTTTGTATTGTAATAATGACTAGCATTAATCTTATACCTCTCTTTTGATTAATCTTCTAACTTTGATTTGCTAACCACCATGATAATTATATATAGAATATTTCATAGCTGTTGGATATTTTTCTGTCCCAACATATTTGATGTTGGTCATAATGTTGCAAACAATTTACAGTCAAATTAGGATCTCATATATGTTCCTGTAGTTTTCTTTGGTTGCATCTTGGTGTGTTGTACCTTCTTTATTTTTGGTTACAGTATTCATTGGATCATCAGAAGTCAGTGGTGTGCTTACTTTTTATTTTGAGAAATCAAAAAAATATTTATGTTGGCATATAGTCAGCACTATTTTGGTATGCTTAATTGAACATCTCTATCTCTACCAGCACTGATGTTGTGATAAAAATGATAGTAAACAATAAAAAAATTGCATTATATATACTTTAGGTTTGTACAAATGTGAACAGACATTCTCCTCTGTGGTGCTAATTTCCCCTTTATGTGTGAGTGAAGCACTTTATTCTCCTCTGTTAGATACTGGCAAAATCCTTTTACTCTCCTGCAAGTATGAACCTTCTATGTCTGTATTACTTTCTGTCCCTTGTCCTCTGGTGTACTGGGCTGTCTTTGTCCAACAGTACAATTTTAGCATCTTTTCCTTGATACATGGAATGACCCAGCTGTCTGTTAACAAGATGATATAAGAACCCCTAATAATTTCCACATAAAAGCAAATTCTACCAGTTTTAGCTCTGGATAGTCAGTGGTGTGCTTACTTTTTATTTTGAGAAATCAAAAAAATATTTATGTTGGCATATAGTCAGCACTATTTTGGTATGCTTAATTGAACATCTCTATCTCTACCAGCACTGATGTTGTGATAAAAATGATAGTAAACAATAAAAAAATTGCATTATATATACTTTAGGTTTGTACAAATGTGAACAGACATTCTCCTCTGTGGTGCTAATTTCCCCTTTATGTGTGAGTGAAGCACTTTATTCTCCTCTGTTAGATACTGGCAAAATCCTTTTACTCTCCTGCAAGTATGAACCTTCTATGTCTGTATTACTTTCTGTTCCTTGTTCTCTGGTGTACTGGGCTGTCTTTGTCCAACAGTACAATTTTAGCATCTTTTCCTTGATACATGGAATGACCCAGCTGTCTGTTAACAAGATGATATAAGAACCCCTAATAATTTCCACATAAAAGCAAATTCTACCAGTTTTAGCTCTGGATATGTATTTACCTAGAAACAGTGTTTCAATGTTATTTCAAAGTGTAATTAGTCTCTGAAATTTTCATTCTGTAAAGGCCAATAATAGATATTTTTTCTTAAATACAAGTTTTTATAAGAGGAAATGGTTCATGTGACTAGTTCTATAAGCTATTCCAACTATGATGCATTCCTTCTCTGACTTACCTTTCCAGTCAAAGAGCCCATTTCCCTGACTGCCGGGAACCTCAGGTACTGCCTGAGCAAACTTCACTCTTCAGATTCACATCCAGTCTCAATCCCGCCCGCTCTTTCTGCCTCTACCCTTTCTGCCCTTCCAACCACATTCCCCATTTTCTTGATTTCTTATACTTTGTTCTTGAGGAAACTGATTTGATAGTAAATAAAGAGTCCTATATCATTTTCATGTTTTCTGGAACACATTATCTGTCCCCTCAGACTAATAGAAACTAAGCCCCTTCCTAAGGATACCATAATCGGCGTACTTCTTCAAGGGGGGCCACCTTTTCCTATCTTCCCAACTCCCAGCACTGGAGAAGCAGGATCCACAGATATTTTCAAATATTGTTGACCTGCCCTTCTGAAATTCACTGTGTATACCAAGTATTAAACATCTGTAATGTCCCATCTACTTTCAGAATACTCATCCTTTGAACACAATTTCAGGTCCAGGATGAAATAGTTTATTCTCTCCACTCCAACCCCTACCATTCTTCAGTATTTCTAAGATTAAAAATTTAAAGAGAACAGGAAGAAAAATAATAGCATTGCTCGTGTTTGGTGATCAAGATTTTTGGCTGCATATTCCAAATAAGGTTTTTATTGGCCTCATAATACCTTCCAATCTTCATTTCTCTGGCCTTCTTCTAGCTTTGTTTAGCTTCCTTATCAACTCTAGCTAGCCTGAATCTGTTCCCTGCAGGCTTTCTCACGAGCTGATTTATTTTATTCTCAATCCATGCAGATCCAAATATGAGTGATCACACCAAATGGCCCTGATCTTGGTTAACTAGCAAGTGAGCATACTGACATGAACCTGAGGTGAGACAGATCTAGGACTGGGTCCTTGAGAGGAAGATCGGTGCTATTGATACATTTTCAAATCGTATTTCTGAGAATGACACCCTTGTCCAATTGTTTGACTCATTCACAATGGTGATTTCACATGAACCCCCCATTCTCACTATCCCATCCTGTCGGCGTCAGCTTGACACACTGGCCTAGTGCAAACTGCCAACTCAAAACGGGTCTCTACTACCCTCTAGTGTCCACTAGAAGAAGTGACCCACAGCAGGCAGGTTGATTCTGAGGAAAACATCATTTTGGATAGATGACAAACTAGAGTCCCAATGCATAAGATCCATCGTTGTTTTTTTTAAATATCTCATCAACATCATATTTTCCACAACGCCAAACTTTGTTTTTCAGGTGCCATTCCTAGATATGCTGCCTCAATCTCAAATCAGTATGCTCACCTGTCCATTGACTGAGATCAAAACCATTTGGTTTAAGTACTCTCCCTTCTCCTGGAATGTCTGATCCCTTTTCACTCCTGCATCTACGTAAGAATTGCACCTTCTATGAGCCAAAGGGGGACCCAGATTTTAGGATTGAAATAGTAGATGAAGAATGAACAGAAAGAATAGAAATGTTGAAAACGTGGAAACATTTTTTAAAAAGAAAGAAAGAAAGAACAGGTAGAAAGAGAAGAAATGGGAACAAGTATGGGCAACTCTTTCCAGAAATGTGTAGTCAAAGGGACAGAAAAGTCTAGTCATAGAGAAAGATAGCATATTGAATGATTTCTACAGTAGGCAAAACTTAAGTTTATTTGTAAGTTGATGATAAACCTCCAGGAGAAAGAAACTAATTACTAGAATATGTCACAGAGCAAACAGCAGGTCTTCCACATCATATTCTCCTACATTTCTTTCCTTCTATCTCCCTTTACTCTTCTTCGTATATCCCAGTGTTAAGCAGCATGCACTGAATATAAATATAGTTAATAAATATTTATTCAATTGAATTGTGTTGCCTGGAGAACACTAGGCTGGCCAAATTATGAAACCCAAATAATATCACAACTAGGTTTTTCTTGAACGGTTTATGCTTTTGCCTAAATGGCCCTCCCACCGCCACCACCATTTCCTACTTTGTAAGGAAAAGTGAGCCAGAGGAGAGTAGCTGCCTTACCATCATTGTCTGTATTGATCTTAGGAAACACCAAGTCGGCGAATTCTTAAGGACTCAGAGTTTGCTGGCCATTGAGGGTTTGTACAGCCTGCACGGAAAAATTAAATCAGAGAGTTCAACGTTGCTGGAAGCAAATATACTTTGTAACATTTCAACCCCGATGTGACAGAACTGGGAATGTGTTGATGTCGCTTTTGCTACCCAACCTGTTTTTGTTGTTAAAAATAACTAAAAAGATTGTATGTCAGTTCTAGATAATGAGGCTTGGAAATTAACTGGGTATAGTTTGAAGTTTGATTTTAAAGAACGTGAAGGGTTCCACTCAACACACTAGGTCACAAAAGATGCAAAGAGCTCTCTGGAGAAAAATCGTAGTGGTTACTGTACAAGAATTCAGACAATGTTCTCAATCTCAGACCAACTATCTTTGATCTTACGGATGAACATAAAAGAACGTTCTGTAAGCATCTAAGGCCTCCATTCTGGCTTCTGACAGTGACACCCCTGGTCCTTTTTGCCCTTTTGTAGAGTGATTGACTGGGAAGACAGATATGTATGCCCTGGAAGAACACTAAATTTCTCTCACACGCTGACAGAACCTTTCATCATGAAAGCTGTCAGGTACTCAGGGAAAATGACATTTCAGGCTTTCCTAGGGGGAAGATTTAGCCACCCTTTCCCTTCCCCCCACCAGATGATTAAATCAAATGACACATATTTGATGTAGAGATTCATAATAAAATGAAAGACAGACAGAGAGAGAGAGAGAGAGGATGAATTAGTCATCTGGGAATTTAAACATAACTATCTTGATTGAACATGAAGGGATCTAGAAAACTGCTGGCCACATATTTCTATTAGGGGCATGGTCTTAAATATAATACTGCTTTCTAAGCATTACTAATACTGAATCCAGGGTTAGTCATAATAAACAGTGGTAAGTCTCAACTCCTGGCCTTAGCAAGTCGAGATCTCATGTTAAACATGGATTAATACTTGGAGTAATGGTTACATACATGCAACATCCTATTAGATGAATACTTGTAGGGCAAAAAAGTGTCTTTGCAGAGGCCCCCAAAACCTAGAAAATTTGGTTAAGCTTCCAGTATTCTCACATCGTGAAGTGATATTAAACCACATGTATAAGTCACAATAAAAGATTATGAAATTTCTAGGATTTATCCACTACCCATTTCCTGGCAATATAAATATGAATGAAAGATTGACAAGGCCTGATTAAAATATTAAAATAATATCTTAGGGGTAATATTTTGGAGGGGGTCATCAGTGTGCCTGTTTTCCTCTTGTAGAAGAAGGGTAGAGGGGAGACAGGCAAGGAAACATGGTTTGTTTCCTTCTTTCCTTCCTCATTTAGCACATCTGCTCCAGCGTTTTGCTAAGCCCTTCCCTGGCCACTCTCCAAGTGGAAGCAGGAAGAAGTAAGAGAGAAAGGGGAGCAGGAAAGCTCTAACTTGGCAGGTACTGTCATGGTTACCCTGTCTCAGAGCTCTTTAGATGGCAGATGTTTGAAGTCCAGTCTTTCTGTGAGACACCCCCTCCCACCTTTTCATTACTTCTCTTCTGCAATTCCCTTGATGTGCATCATGCATTTTGATTCCGGCTGATCGCTCAAGGCACCTTCTCCAGGCTCCAGGCAGGTCTGGATTTCTCAACATCCGCACAATTGACCCTTTGGACTAGACAATACTTCCTTGTTTAGGATTGTCCTGTGTATTGTACAATGTTTAGCAGCATCCCTGTTCTCTAAACAATAAATAGTGGTATCACTGTACCCTTTGCCACTTCCCAGCTGACAGCCAAAATGTCTCCAGATCTTACAAAAGTCCCCTGGAGGAGGAGGAGAGAAATTCCTCCTGCTTGAGAAGCACTGTCTAGATGTACCTTCAGTTTTCTTCCTTCTGAGGTTCCCTCACTTTTTCAAGTGGTTCAGCTGGACAAGATCTGAGATGGTTCAATGTTATTCCCTCTCACAGTGGCCTATATCTGACAATGGGAAAACCTGAGCATCCTTCATCCTGACAAGTTCTAGGAATGCAGATACTCCTGAAACTTCATCCTTGTACTCAGCTGCCATGGTCACCTTCTTTAGACTTCTCAGGTATGATTCAAATACTCAACACTGAAGGGTCCATCCACATCTCAGTGTCTTAAATCACCATGCTATTGACTTGAGGGCTCTTACCCAAGAAATCCTCTCCAATAATCCTTCTCAAAAACCCTTTTGACCATTTTATACTCCTGAAGTAAGATTAAGATGTAACTACTTCCTCTGTGAAACTGGCCTATAGTCTAGTACGTCTTTCAGATCTCTTGATGCCTGAGCTGAACTCCATTTTAACATCCTGTTACCGTGTGTTGAGAAAACTTACATTATATGGTATGTATTATTCTTTACCCTGCTGTTTTTTTCATGTGTGATTATATAGAAAGTATGTTTGTGGACCACTAATTCTCTGTAAGTACATATTCTACTGCATTAACTTATTTAAACTTTTTCTTCTTTAAATTTTTATTTTTACTATCTTAAGTGATTCAGTGATGTAAATCATAGAGCTTTTATCTTTGGTGACATTTACCATTGTTTTTGCTAACCAAAAATATTGAGTCTAAATCAAAGATAGACTTTTAGCCTTTTGATGCAGATTACCAGATTTCCAAGAAGTGATATCCATTTATACTCTCTCCACAGTGTGGAAGGGTGTTCTTCTCATAGTGCCCTTACCAGAATTACATCTTATTGTTTTTAATCTTTATTGATTATTCAGAGACAAATAGTATCCACTTTTTCCTTTTATCCTTTTGTTCTTCCCAATTCTTTGAGATTACCCCCCAGAACGGATAACAGAAAGGCAAAAATTACCCCTCAATTTCAAGGGCTTCAAGGATTTGGGAAAACCATAGATCCACAGATCCCAGGAGAAGAACCCTGCTCCAAATACTGCTTTGGCAGCATGCCCTAATATTTGTACACTGTATTACATACACAATGTTTAAAAAATACATTTGAGCGTATTTATTTGAGAGGATATTTTAAAATCTACATGGGGTTAGGTACTCCCTATAGAAGATTTCACATTTCTAATTTTGTGTTGCAAGATGTAATATGTAAGCAAAATTTGTGAATTTTATTGCTTATAAAGTTCAGTTACAAAGTGCATCTCAATACTTTTGTAAATGATCTATGTGGGATTAAAGTAGAAGAGTATTATCATATTCCTGAATTCTTTCCCTATGTTAGTTAACTCTACATTTGATGGACAGTTTTAAATTTTAACAGCTGTGTCCATTTGTTGAGGTGTTTAATTGTAATTGTAGTTCTACCCACTTATTTTTTTGTGCATTTTTGTTAATATTTCTACTATGTGTTATGTTTGTAACTCAACTCCACCTATAAAGGAAAGAATTTGGATTAGATTATGTCTAAGACATCAATGTTACAAATTTGGTGTATTGAATTCATAATGCTTACTTAACTTCATGTCTTCATTTTTAGATATAATGTCACCATTACTCATCTTTTACTCTGGGACGCATTTAATTTCATACCATGATAATCATCCCCACTGCACTGGTGGAAGGGAGAGGTGAGATCTACAAAGGGACTCATTAAACTTCAGAGATAGAAAGTATCTGAGATCCTTGAGCTATCTACTAGAAATACTTTAGTCCAGTTCAAGAAAGATTAGTCCACATTCTTCATTCATGAAGTACCTTCATTCTTAGTCCTTGTCTGTTACTATATAAACCATCTAGTGTTTTAGTTGCTTCCCGCAAAACTTCCTGCACTGAGACAAAGAAAAAGATAAGTTGATTTAGAACATCATGTTTACTTAATTTTTCATCTTCAACTCTGCTTAATTTTAGAACTTCAGAGTGGGCTGCACCAAGAAGGAAATGCTGATTTATAGTTGCACATTCAGTAGCCAATAGCACAGAGAAACTGATTTCAAATGTATTTCTCAAGAATATCTGGCCACATAGATCTGTCACCGAGTCCATAGAGAGGAAAACTGAATTAACAACACAATGTCCTTCAAAGGCTACTTGCCTGCTTCATTTACCAAGAATATGCTCAGTTGTTCCTTTTTGGTCAATAGAACCATTTCCATCAGCATCATACAGCTTAAAATACCATTTAAAATTTTGTTCCATTTTTGCTTGTACAAGTAGATTTATGATTTACCGCAGCAATAAACTCTACAAAGTCAATAAATCCACCTATGGAAAGCAAGTTCAAAAGGGAAATAAATATTTGAGAAGAACAATTGTTTTTTATCTGAGAAGTCATCATTCATGAGTAGGACCTTTAGTATAATTTAATATTTCCCACAAGATTTCAGCATAGACTTTTCCCAACAAAAAAAAGGTAATGCGTATGGAAACAAGTAACTTTAAATACAAGGGTAAATGCCTTTTTAGAGAAAATATCTACTCATGTCCAAAAAAAAAAAAGGTTCTGAAATGCCATCATGGAAGGCTGAGGCCTGATCACTTAGCACCCAACAGTAGTCGTCTTCTAAATATCTTCAGGTTTTGTCCTAAAGTTAGAGAGAAGACCAGGTACCAACTTTTTAAAAAAATTTTTTATTAAGGTACGATTGATACACACTCTTATGAAGGTTTCACATGAAAAAACAATGTGGTTACTACATTTACCCATATTATCAAGTCCCCACCCACACCCCAATGCAGTCACGTCCATCAGTGCAGCAAGTTGCCAGAGATCCACTATGTGCCTTCTCTGTGCTGCACTGTTCTCCCCGTGATCCCCACCCAGGTACCAACTTTTAATAGAAGAAAAACACGCCAAGTAGCTAAATTCTATATTCCTTTTTAGAGAAGCTGGCTGATCTTCCTGGGCTGCTAAACTCCAGGGGCAGCATTTTCAGTACAAATCAAAATTTATGAGCCTCTTGTTCTTTGAGGATTTCATTGTATTAGTCAATCTTGGAAAGACTGTTAAGGATTGCAGGCTTAGGTAGTTTCCCTCATCCTATTTTAAATTGGTAAACCATTCTCAGTCTAAACAGAAACAGTCTTCATCATTCTTAAGAATCACACACTTCAAACCTTATGTAGCCAGATGCTCAGCCATTGTAAGAAAGGTGGCCAGCTCCAGGGAGGTGTGAACCCCTCTCTGCTATTTCCCATGTGAGTTCAGATACCAGGGACAGCACACCCAGACCAAGAAAACAGACCGTCAGCGGCATTCTCTTTGGAATATCTGGGATGTCAAGTCCTAGTTACAAAACAGGGTGTGACATAAAGTATCCCTTTCCCTTGGAAATAAAGGGCTTTAGACTTACTGGTTTATAAAGTGATAGCTGTTTGTTTTGAGCCTTAAGCTTTTGTAAGTAGTTCCACTAAGTCTGTAAGGAAAAGCAACCGAGAAATCAAAATCACCAGTAGTTCTGGCATTCTGGATGTAAAGCAAAGCTGGTTTGGCTGGTTAATGGCTTTTTTGTTTGTTTGTTTTAAGACAATGACAGTATCTTAGATGTTGAAAGTCAGTTTGCTCATCACTACAGCATTGTCTTAAAAAATGTATAACACTTTTTGATTCTCTGCACTCTGGATGTTTTTACCTCTAATTGTCAGAAGAAAACAAGAAAATATTTTAAAATCATTTCACTACATCAGGTATTGGATTTTTGCATTTTACAACATAGGGGTCTTTATCCCATGGATAACTTTAATACTTCTAATAAGAGAAGATATCTACTAAATGATAGGAGTCTGGTTGAATGGGTCTCCTAAAGGAAATCTGCCTGAGTATATAAAATGTGAGCAGTTTTTTACCTTTCCTCCAGCTGCCTTCACTACTGCATGTCACCACTTCACCTTGTTAATCCAAGCATAGCTATGGTTAAGACAAAGGAAATAAATTATGATACAATTGAAAATTATTTAAGAAGACATCAAGATATTATACCTCCAGGTTCAGTGGGACACGCCCATTATTTTGTAGGAACAGGACTGGCAGGTATAGAAGCTGTAAACACGGGCACGCATGCGCCTAGTTCTCCTCCTGTGCTCTAGGGCAGACCAATGAGTACCTCGGCTTCCTGGGCAGCTGGTGTGCATGTTTACCAAAAGACCACAGAAGCACTCTCCCTGCCAAGACTGAGCTGGCTTGAGTCACTCCTCTAGTGTTTCCATAAAAAGCTTAGATTTCATGAGAGCTTGTTTCACTTTACAAGTCCTACTTCAGTGATCAGTTTTCAGTGTCACCTGCATGGTGAATGGCAACAGGCTAGATTGAGCAATGCTGCCTTCAGAACATTTGGCATCTTAGGATGGGGTACAGTGGGCAAGTGGCCCTAACACCTTCCAACTCAGGCTCTGCAAGCTCTGGGCAAATCCTGCCAAGAGATGAGCATAGATATTTTCATTCTCTGGTTTTTAAATGGACAGCCTGGCTCATCTACAGCCAAAGTTGATTGTGGGTGAGGAAACCTTCCTATTTAGACAAGTGCAGCCTTGTTCAAAAGCCCTGGCAAGCAAAACATGTTTCACTTCAGCCTTCTGTTATGCAGTCAGGCAAATTAATCCTTAAAATCTACAGCCAACTCTTATTTCCAACTCTTATTATCCTTCTGTTAAGATTTTGTAGAAATTTGCCTTGATTAGACAACTCCAGCAGATGATGTCAGAGCTTGTGTCAGTGTTGGAAAGAGTTTTAGGCAAAAGCTTATCAGAGGAAAAAATAATTATTGTCTTCAGTTAATCTATAGATTTCAAGGATGGGAATAAGAATCACAAAGAAGGTGAGGAGATGTCCCTGCAAATGTGACTGGGAAGAATCCATAGAGAATGTCCACGGACATTTCTTTGGGGTAATCCAAAGGAACAGTTGAGCTACTGGTGCCCCTGTGGCACACAGACTGTTGGGAGATATCTGCCTCCTAATGTCCTGGAGCCAGAATAGGGTTCATAAGCTCCCTGCATCAAAGTCACATGGGGACAATGAAATATGCAGATTCCTAGACTCCAACCCCAAACAACAGTATCAAAATTACTTGGAATGGGATCCAAGAGTGTATTTTAAAATGCTCTCCAGGTGAGCCTTATGTATCCTAAGATTTGGAAACCACGGACCAGGGCTGTTTTTCTTATCCATGTCTTTCTTTGTAGGCAATGCTATCATCTAGGCATCTCTCCAAGTTGTAATTGTGACTTATTCTCACTTGAATTTATGTCACTCTATTAAGACTAATTAGAAAAATTATGACCCACATGGTTCAGTCTCAGAATAATGACATCATCACAGAAATATACTCCAGCAATCAAAAGCTAATTTCAAAATAACAGCAAGTCTTTACTTTCATTTCTGGAACAAACACGAGTTGCAAGACATTTATGGATTTCTTCACAACAGCCCCTTCCTCTCCCATCTGCTCCTCCACATACACCCTGCTGCTCAGTCGTTCTCCACTGCCTGGTCCCTCACTGCCAGCTCCAGCAGGAGAACACGTCGTCATTTCACTCCACCAATTCCTCTCATAAATCTGCAGCACAACATCCTAAATATCAGTTTGGCAATGGCAGGATCCTCCTTTCAAGTTGAGGGAGGGGAGGAACTGGATGCCCACAAAGCCATTCTAGGGAGCCTCAGAAAGGGAGAGTGTGGGAGCACAAATGCAAAGCTGATTTTAAACCCAATACATGTACAGACTTATGAATCATGTTCTTAGGATGTAGTGAATTACAGGGAAGAGTTAAACAGGGGTCAAGGTATGGAACATGATAGTTTGGCTCTATTAATATGTTATAACTCATGTTTTAGACGGGGGTTAAAACAAGAGAGAGAGACAAAATATATGATTACTTTAAATTTACGCTTCCTCACAGTCTCAAAATATGTGGGAATTAAAAGACATACTTTTTATATCTACAGAGGAAGTATGAAAAGATTGAAAAAAGTATGCTTTTTTTTTCTACCTTAGAAGTCTAATATTAAAAAAACAATAAAGGAAAACAAGATCCTGCGCTGGTACTGTCCAAGAGAAAATCCATAGGTGGAATATATGGTTTCCAGGCAGTGTTTATGATCTGCCATGAATCATAGTTGTTTTCAGACTATGATTGATGTGAAATGTGGGTAAAAAGTTAAATCATAAACCTTATATATATGAAAATAATTATTTTATTTTTTATTACTAAGTATAAGAGCTACCATATATATATATATGTGTGTGTGTGTGTGTGTGTGTGTGTGTGTTTTAAGGAAAAAAGCCCATATCCCAAGCACTATGCTAATTTCCAAGCATTATCCCTAATTCTAACAGCAGCCTTGCAGGTAACCATATTATTCTTATTTCACAGAGGAGACAACTGATTTTCAGAGTGGTCAAGTAAACTGGCTAAAATAACAAAACCAGCTTTACTCTCAGACTTTTATTCTTCGTAACACTCAGTATTGCACTCAAAGCTCACTACGGTTGAATTCTTCTGGAAGAGCTGTTCATAGACTTGAATAGACGGAACACGTTCAGCACAGTGTGTTCTGGATTCCTATGTGGTAATACGTTGATATAAAGTGAGGTGCCCTGCAGCATCTGAAGGCTCTGCCTGGAGCCCATGCTCCCCTCCTCACTGGTGCTGCCCACGATGACCTGGCCTGCATGCTATAAACTGCTTAGCCTCAGGAGACGTGTGAGCCCAGGGGCTCTCGGGGCCCCCACTCCCAGGCTCCCCCTCACCTAGCCCCCATGACTGTCTGGCTCAGCAGGACAGGAAGTGTTCATTCTCCCCTTGCCCTCTCTGCCTCCCTGGAGTGATGAACATTTTTTCTATCCATTTTGGGATCCTTAGCCCCTCTCTCCTTGCTCATGAGTTTAGCCTCCAGCACCCCTCAGACAAAGCTTCTCCCCGCCTACAGTTTCCCCAGGAAATTTTCTCAGCCTCCCCTCCAGAACCTGAAGCGTACACACTGGTCCTGCTTCAGCAGATCCTGTTCTTAGCCTTCACCACAGTCTTGCCTAGGAGTCTATAAGCCTCTCTCTCCTGTGCAAGTGGCCATTGCTTTGGCTCAGCCTCTCTCCCTCCTCAGGGCCTCACACTCGCATTACAGCCCCAACCCGTCCCTCCATTCTCCCCGCCCTATAACATCCCTGGATAAAATCTCACTGTAGGTATCATCTGATATGCTCCACATGGTCCCACCATCACTCTCTGTTTTCCTGAATGGCCCTTAGGAACAGATACTGAAATATCATCTCAGTGTGTATCAGGGACATCTGCTTTTGTGTTTTGTCCCAGTGATGGAGCCATGAATTTATAAACTGGGTATGATTAAGGGAACTTGGCTTCATTCCATTGATTCAAGTCATAGAACTTCAGCTCTGGAAATAGTCCTTCATTTCGCAGATGAGAAAAGGGCTAGTCATAATTACAGTTATAATAATCATGATGACACAATGATGACTATTGGTGTTGATGTAATAATGGCTATACATATTGGGTCAGGCATTGTGCTTTACGTATATGAATTATTTACCCCTAACAAAGCCCTACATAGTACTAACCAAGAAGCATAGCATCCTGTGTTGGAGTAACACAAAGACATGGAAATTGAAATGATTATTACAATAATTAGTGATAAAGCTGCATTTGTACTAGTGTACCCTCTTATTCAGGAAAACAAAATAGTCCAAATCCAACAAAAATCACTGACGTATAGCCTCAGATTAAACCTATATCTTCCCACAGCATTAACTTTCTGCTACTTTTCACAGAATCACTATCTGTGAACAATTCATGAATCATCAGAGCCCCTAAAATGAAGACACTTAAATGTTTTCAATTCTTTTACATGTGACATTTTTCAATGACATTTTACCAGCTATGGCGGGTCAGTAGCAACGTATGAATTAAAACGTCTTTCTGAAAATGGTTATTCAGATAGTCAGAAGTAAGGAAACCTCTAGCACCAGTATAATAAGCACATTATATGGTTGACAACAATCGTTAATGATATTTAATTTGCATTTTAGGAGCTGTAAAGAAAGTAGGCAATATAAAGGCCCCCTCTATCATGTCAAATACAGGTGAATACTTTATAAATACTTCCATGAATTTGTAAAATTTATAAGGGACACATTACCTCTACCATTTATGGCCTACCCCAATTTCACCTACAGACACTTACATTAACAGCAAACATCGTCTCTATCAGCCACAGAATTGCTGGAATGTCCTGAGGAGACTCATCTCTGTAAATTGGTTCTATAATATGATCTTCATGCAGATCAGACATGGTTAGTCTTGACTTGACCATGAGTGTACAAAATTTAAGTGTTCCGGGGCAAAGCACTTATCATAATATTTATCAAACAAGCTTGTGATTAATAGGCTTCCTGAATATCAGGAAGCCCTGACCATCTGCCCCCAGAATGAAGCCAGCTCAGCACGTGTCCAGCCCACTGTGAACTAGAAGCAAGTCTCAGATGTGTTTGGGGAAGGAAAGACATTGTCCAACTTTGATCACCTCTGAATGAGTCAACTGCAGAGGGCTGCCCAGGATTTTAGCAGTGGCAGCCTCCAGGAACTTCCTCAGGCAGTGTGGGCTTCCTCGTACAGCACCTGTCTCCCTAAATCAGTACTGCAACAGATGAAAGGAAATCCAGCCTTACCCTAATTCGGTCAGCCTACCTCCTAAGAGTGTCTTGTTTCCCATGGAAAAGCCCGAATCCTTGTTCTTTAATGTACAGAAAAAATTAACAAAGGATATAGAAAATAGCAGAATACATGGTGGAATGTTTACATCCAGAATTACTTGCTTCCAGGTGTTTTTTTTTCTTTAATATGATTATAACAAAAAGAACAATCAGAGGAATTGCTTCTGAATAAATAGTTTTGGTCCCAGAATCTCTGTTTGTCTTTCCTGAGGGTTTCAGCCCCAGACAAGTTCACTATGGATTCAGTGAGACTGAGAAATGGCAACTCCATGTCCTTAGGGTCAAAGGGTTTATACCTGGCTTTATTCTCCCAGCAGTAGGTCAAGCACTAGACTCACATCTGCATCCAGCAGTCTGCAGGCCTGTAATCCACCTCCATCTCTGCCTCCACCCAGAGCACTGGGCAGAGCTCTTTATATAATAACTCAGACAATAATAGCTTATTGCCTGTGGGTGTGGAAGCATTAGCCTAGCAGCAGACCAGTTACATCATCAAGTTGTTTAGGGTCAGGTGAGGGTCCTGGCCGTAGGCACTTCCATTTTCCCCACACTGTTTTATATGTTTATGGTACCTGGCTCTTTGGTGGCAGAAATGGGCCTAGTATCCAGTTTTCTGCCATTTTGACTGTGGTCTTTCTGGTATAGCTGCTGTGATCATACCCAGCTGTACACTTGAACCACCTGGCAGCTTAAAACAAACAAAGCAAAACATTGTTTGATTCATTTGGACTGAGGTGGGGACCCAAGCCACTGGCATTTTTAATAATCCCCCCAGGTTTCTAATATGTAGCCAGAATCACGAGCTAGATTTCTAACAGATTTTGTTAAAATACATGAGTTCCAACAGCTTAAGTTTGAACGCACATCAGCAGGTACAACTGATATGTTTAACAAGCAAAAATCCTGTAAGAGGTTCAGCCAAAATGTTGATAATTGATGGTATATATAAAAATGCTTTGCAAGTTATGAAGTACTAAACAAACAGATGGTGTTTTATTATCTCCAAAAAATGTTTCCTGAGAGCATCTATGCTGGTATTTCTGAAGTTAGTAGCCTTGGTCTTTTCCCTTAAGGGACTGAAGCCTAGTTTAAAATCTAATAGATGGTCATTTGTTTCCAGTAAATGAGTCTTACGAACAGCGGCAGTAATTGCAGTCATCCTGTAAACCAGAAAATCCGATGCAGTGTTACAGGTTGCAGGGCAGACAGGGGTTAACAAACAACAGCAGTTAAAGCCAGGTTGCCTGCTCCGATTTTTAAAGGCTCTCACACAAAGAGAAGCTAAGGAATCAGAAAACCAAAGGTCACTTCTGAATTTCAAGTACAGCTGGGGCTCCATGCAGCTGTTCTGGGTTGGATTAAGAAGACAGTTGAAACTCAAAGATGATTCCTATTTAATTAATTTTATTAATGTTACTCTATGACCAGTAATCACTGCAACAGCACAAATCAATGTCTAAAACACTCAGATTAAGGATAGAAATGGTAGGAAAAACCACATCCACTTGTAGGCACATTCTTTCATTTGGAAATACAATTTGAGATTGATCAAAAGTTGAGTTAATCTTCACTATTCTCAAACCTGTGGGGGCTGAGGTTAGAATTATCTGCATTTAACAGATAAACATACAATCCTTTTATGGGCTGCATGTCACATTTTTTTTTAAGTTTTCTCCTACATTATTTCACATGAGCTCAGTGATAATGTAGGCAGGATAGTTCTTCGTTTTAGAATTAAAGACTTTGACACAGAGAGGTTATGAGCCTCATCTGAGACTACACCCAGCAATGAGGGGCAAAGTGAGATAGGAGCCCAGCAAACTACTTTT